GAGAAATTTTTTGTGAGCGACTTGTATCTTTTTGAATACCTCATATTTTTTGAGCCTTCAAAATTCTAAAAAAATCATCCCTAAATATGCTTTATGCTTGATACTCTTTCGACTAATGTTTGCATTTCCTCTTTTTCATTGGCTACCCATCAATCCAGAAAAAGTCGATGGTTCTTTCCGGTAATTTCTAGGGAATAGAGAAATATTTTTTAAACATTATTTAGCTTCCGGACGTTTAAATTCATTTTTTAACTTCCTGAAGCTTCATTCAACTTTCCCTGGAATTTTCTTCCACCTTACCTTGGAAGCTTCTTCAACCTTCGCTCGAATGATTCTTTATATCTTCTCCCACCAGTTTTTTCAACTTTCCCGGAACTTCAAGGATGCTATCAGATTTGTATTGCGGATCCACACTAGCTGCAGGAACATTTAAGAAGTTCTGAAGCTTCAGAAAAGTCCAGACTTTTGTGTTAGTTTCCATTAATTAAAGATAGTTTCATAAATTTCTGTTAAAATTCGAAAACCCGGACATTTCAGAAAAGTCCAGCGAACTCCAGTGAACTTAAGGAAACATCATAAATATTTTGGAAACTTTACAAGTTCAAAGAACTTCAGAGAAATTTAATGGTTTTCAGGAACTTTAGTGAAGCTCAGAGAACATCAGGACAGATCAATGAATTTCAATGAAATTGCTGAAATTATAAAGCAGTTCCGAGAAACTCAGGCAATTTCCGAAAACTTTAACAATATGCAAATTTAGGAAACGTAAGGGAAGTTACATGAACATTAGATCATTGTGAGAACATTGTATGGGAAGTTCTATGGGTTTTTTAACACTCCGAACACGATGCCTCCGGTAAAATGTGTAACGGCAAAATGGCAATGTTTGAAATATCATAGTTCAGCAATTTATCGATAGATTTTAAATCAGTTGATTTTGAATAGATCTTTAAACTATGAAGTTTCAAATGGTGCCAGTAGATTTTAAATTTGTGAATATATGGCTGAGCTATGATTTTTCAAACATTGCAAGTTTACCGTTACACATTTAACCGGAGGCATCGTGGTCAGAGTGTTAATGGCAGTGTCGATAACTTTAAAAAAAAAATCGGTAAGATCAGAGAACTTCAATGCTGATGTTACAATAAATTAAAAAAAAAATGTGAGGGCACATAAGAGATTTTGTAATCTTCAAGAAAGTCCACAGACCTTCAAAGATGAATAGAGGATATTCTCATTATAATCAGGGAAATTCCGAGCGCTTCGAGGATGACCAGAGAACTCTAAAACAGCCCCTAATTTCAGGAAAAAATACAAGAAGTTTTAAGGAATTTCGAGGAATTATAGAATATTCCTAAGTGCATTTCAGGAATGTTCCGAAAAATTCAGGGAAATTGCGAAGTCTTCAGGGATGTTTTATACATATATCAGGATTTTTTTTTGATCATTTGAACATCCCCCAGGAATCTCTTTCTTCCGGAATTATGTCCTTGTTTCTTTCGACTGTTTCGTAAGCACTCTGGCGTCCGACTTTCTTCAGATGTTTCTTCCAATCTACATTAGGAAGTTTCTGTCGTCTTTTCCAGGAAGTTCAATTAATTCTCACAGAAATTTCTTTCGTCTTTTTTTGGAAGTTTGACCATAAGCCAATGTTTTTTTTTCGACTTCTATTGGAAGGCTTTTCTTAGCTTCTTCTGGCTTTTACTGGAAATGGCTAGTTCTGGAAATCTACTTCGGGTATCCGAAACATTTCTGGCTTCCTTTGGATGTGACATCCGATGTTTTTTTTTTCAATAGTTTATTTAAATTTTCGCCACAAGTTTCTCAATTCGTGTCTTGGAAGTTTCCTGGATGTTTTTCCAGCTTTTCTCGAACTTCATCCAAGAGAGCTTCTTTCGTCTTTCTTTGGATGTTTTTTCAGCTCAATTCAGAAGCTAATTCAAACATTCCCCGGAGTTTTCTTCCGGAATTTACCGATCGTAGTTCAAAAGCCAAAAATTTGCTTTGATTAACGGCTTTCTCGGTCATAAACACTGCAAACGACTACGATGTAACTGCCCGGCCATGGGTTGTATCTTTTTTCAAGGGAAAATATTGTTTGTCGTTATTGTCAATAGTTTAGTCTTTGTTGTGGCTGATTTTCCATATTTTGTTTTCATTTAATGATATTGTATTAAAAAAAAACTTCTTGATCACAATTTCGATCACCATTTTAAGTACAACGATAATTAAAAAACAAAAAATTGAAGAGTGTTTTAAGGCTGAGAAAGCCATTAAACACAGCAATTCCCCTCAAGTCCCAGTCGTTACCATTGTTGAAAATTTTGCTTTCAAAAACGGCAAACATATAAGATTAATTAAATAGTAAATACCGATAAATACCGATTTTTTAATACCTTCGATACCGATAAGCTTTAAAACAATCTGGCAACGCTGGTTGGGAGATGAGGAGAGGAACCGTTTCGTAATTATATGGGAATGTGTGTGTGAGAAAAAGCAGAAACATTAAATTTAATGTTATATCGTGTTTGCTCATTACTTCTCTACATATACTAGCACCGAGTAGGGAGAAAATTCTGAACAACTGTCCACCAACGAAAAGATCTTGACCTCCTAAAAAACTTTGCCAAAGACATTTACTCTTTATCTGGTCAGGATCTATTGATGTATCACATACGAGAACTTAACATGTATACGAGCACTACCTAGTGAGAAGATTCTGAACTACTGTTAATCAGCAAAAAGGCTATGATCTCCTGAACAGCTTTGCCTAAGACAGTAACTTTCTATCTGGTCAGGATCTAGAGATATTTTATATGAGAATTTCACGTTTAAACTAGCGCCGCAAAGTGAGGAAACTCTGAACTACTGTCCATCAACGAAAAGGCCTTGACCTTCTGAACAACTTTGTCGACGACAGTAACTTACTATCTGGTCATGATCTCGAAAATTTCACATGTATTCTAGCGCTACGTAGTGAGAAAATTCTGAACTACTCTCCACCAGCGAAAAGATTATGATCTTTAGATTAACTTTGCCGAAGACAGTAACTTTCTATCTGGTCAGGATCTCGAGATTTTCCATGTTGTAACCAATTAAGTCAAATTCCACGTAGTACGGACACCGTTTACGCGGTTTCCATTCTCATTATCTCTATTATCCGCATTTTTGAGGGGTTAACTGTGATAAAAGTTTAGCTTGTTAAGTTAAAAACAAGTTTTTTAATGAATACCCGTTGGTTTCATATCGATTGGTAGCTCGGCTGCAAAATGGCAATGGAAAACTCACACTGTTGTACAAAGTACAACGCGCGAGTACTCGTGTTACTAAAGTTGGCGCGAGTAACGGAGGGTTAAGCAATCACATCTACAATCAACTAACTCCTGTGAGTATGCAACCAGAATCAGTGTATAACAGGAGACACCCGATTTCTTCAACGTTGTGCACTTTTTATAGCAATGTACGGTCAGTTGAATTGATGGAATGTTCTCCACGCATTTCCTTTTCTACTAATATGGTAACAGCAACAGTCCCTTCTTTAGGACCTGCATACGACATCTTATTATCTTGAAGATGCAGAGGATTCTTTTTTTTGTAGTTAAGTCACTTCAACACATTTTGAAGGTCATTCGTGACTTGTCCGGGGATGAAATTTGAACTCGTGACCTTTAGCGTGAGAGGCATCGATGCTAACCATATTACGCCGGGTCCGTCTCCTACTTTCAGTGTTGTTCATTACAAATTTTGACGGTTTGTCAGCCACAACATTGAATTGTTGCTTTGTGTTGTCCATATTAGAGTGCCTGTATCAGTGCCTTTTTCATTGTAAACAGAGCTTTATTTAACATACTGATAAATGGTTGATTCAAAAATAGTTTAACCACAACTTCTATTTTAAAACAATGAAGTTGTTCAATTTTGAGAACATCAGTAAATTTGAGTACCTACCTACCTATTCCAAATGTTGGGACTTGTTGTAAGAAGGCATTTATTAATTCAGACATGGGGTGTCCCGCAAGAGAAATCAATTACAGCTACCTATAAAATCGTTCAATAAATTGTCATCACATTCATACCATCAACCGTAAATCCGCGGACAATAATTTGCTTTGTATGTAAAAATGTTTGTATTACTGTGTATATTATATCAGCTGCTTTTTGTGTGCTAGGACTAAAATAACCGTATTAATACAAGAACCGTTGAAATTTTGAGTTTGTTTCAAATGCCAATTGAAAAAAAAACCTTGTCGAGACAATTCGAAGATTTTAAGCTACGAAGTTTTCTTTATTTTATTTTAATGCTTCGTAGAAGTACGCAATTGTTCTAGATGTTTTCTTCTGCTGAGCAATGATTAATAAATAATAATGTGTCGAAATTTAACTTTTCTGCATTTCAGTTTTGTTTTTCTCCTATAATAATTTAAGCACAATTTTGACTTCACTGGTTTTTCCTGACCCCAGGGGAGGGCACGATGTAGACTGCCAAGGCCCATAGTTTGTAACGTGGGTTTCCAAGAACAAGATGATACTTTTCCGGTAATGAGATAGTTGTTATGATTCTATCATAAAGTTTCAGGATCTAAAAATGAAAACACCTGATTAGTTTAATCGACGGTAAGCAGTGTGATCACGCTCGCCTATCAGATCAGGATGATTATTCCGCTCGGTTAAGTGTATCACCCAACAATAACAGAGTGATAAACCTAATGACACGTCAACATAGAACACACCTCCACAGCGGCACACCATGAAGCGTGCTAGCGTGTCGTCGATTGCGACCATGTGATTGATTGCGTCAACCGAAAATTATAAGCAGATAGTTGTTACTCACATTTTCCAAATTAATACTCTCTCGGGCAAGCTTTGCTGGCTGTTCGCTTAGTTGGGTGGTACATTCTTGCTTTCGTACCACCACGGCTCGAGTCGTTTCCTTAGCTAATGCGCAGTATTGTTGAAGTTGTTGTTTGTGGGAAAAAAAACGAAATTTGAATGTTCTGCGCTTGCTTGCTTAGTATGAGCGGATCGCCGGTGGAACGGTGCTGCATTCCTCACTGAGAGTCTGATCGATGACGGGACGGTAGTCAATCTTGACTGCACCGGTTTCCGGATCGATCCAGGTCAGAGTGTGTTTGCGCCAGTGATTTTCAACTGGTACCTTCTGCTGACCTTCCAGAGGTTTGGTGTAGTCCTGTGAATGAAAGTGTGGCAATGTTTTGTACATTTTAATACCTTCTAGTTATTTTAAGTAAATACTTACGTATTCGTCCACTCGGTGTTTGTAGTCTTCACGGGCGTGAGCACCGCGGGATTCTTTTCTATTTTCTGCCGCTGTGATGGTCATATTGGCATTCAGCAGAAGGTTCTGCAGTTCCAGCGTTTCCACCAGATCCGAGTTCCACACCAGGGAACGATCGGAAACCTTCACATCCTTGATGGTTTTGTAGATTTCGCCCATCTTGCGGACACCCTCCTGTAATGTTTTCTCCTCACGGAACACGGCAGCATGCGTTTGCATAGTCTTCTGCATGTTCAGTCGCAAGGTTGAGGTAGGAATAGCACCATCGGCGTTACGCACCCAGTCCAGATTGGCCACGGAGGCCTCACCGGCGTTCGGCTTGATATCGGCGATCTTCTCTCCCGGGCGATTTTCGGAAGCGATGGTCTTAGCACATGCACGACCAAATACAACCAAATCCAGCAGTGAGTTGGCTCCCAGGCGGTTAGCTCCATGGACCGACGAGCAGGCAGATTCACCGCAAGCGTACAGTCCGGGAACTACATGATCGTTTCCACTGGAATCGACGGTTAGAACCTGGCCCTTGTAGTTGGTCGGGACACCACCCATATTGTAATGCACGGTTGGTAGGACAGGAATTGGCTCACGGGTGACATCGACACCGGCGAAGATCATTGCAGTTTCCGAGATACCCGGAAGACGCTGGGCCAGCTGCTCTGGGGGCAGATGGTGCAGCTGAAGGTAGACATGGTCCTTTTCTGGTCCACAGCCGCGGCCTTCGCGGATTTCGATGGTCATCGAACGGGATACGACATCACGGGATGCCAAGTCCTTTGCCACTGGGGCGTATCGTTCCATGAAACGTTCACCTTGGGAGTTGATAAGGTAGCCACCTTCACCGCGGCATCCTTCAGTGATCAAACAGCCAGCACCATAGATACCAGTGGGGTGGAACTGAACAAATTCCAGATCTTCCGAAGGAAGTCCAGCACGAGCCACCATAGCAGTTCCATCACCGGTACATGTATGCGCCGAGGTACACGAGAAATAGGCACGACCATAGCCTCCAGTAGCCAAAACGGTATTCTTGGCACGGAAACGATGAATGCTGCCGTCTTCCAGGTTCAGCGCAATCACACCCACGCACTGTCCATTCTCCATCAGCAGGTCCAGGGCAAAGTATTCGATGAAATAGTTGCAATCGTAGCTCAACGATTGACCGTACAGCGTATGCAGCAGGGAATGTCCAGTACGATCGGCAACACAGCAGCAACGATGCGCCTGGCCACCCTTTCCGTACTTCAAGCTCTGACCGCCAAAAGCTCGCTGGTAGATTTTACCGTCAGGAGTACGCGAAAACGGCATACCGTAGTTCTCCAGTTCGATGACAGCCTTCGGGGCCTCCCGGGTCATGTAGTGAATGGCATCCTGGTCTCCCAACCAATCGGATCCCTTCACGGTATCGTACATGTGCCACTTCCAGTCATCCTCTTCCATATTGCCGAGCGCCGCGTTGATTCCGCCCTGAGCCGCAACGGTATGCGAACGGGTCGGGAACAGCTTCGTGATGACGGCAGTTTTGAAACCTTCGGCCACCAGACCGAAGGCAGCGCGGAGACCCGCTCCACCGGCACCGACCACGACGGCATCGTATGTGTGGTCTACCACCGGGTATTCCTTCGAGATCGCACCCGGGTTCGCTGTGGCGTTATTCTGACCAACGGTGAAATGCAGCCCCCGCTGGGAAGTGGCGGCCGTCAGTCCGCGAGTCTGTAAGGGTGAGAGAATTTGAAGTAGAGTTTGAATTATTTGCTATCCGAGATTTTTAACTTAAACTCATACTGTTAATTAAAAAATTATCTTAATTCCGTTTTTTTTTAATATTCAATTGTTGGGGGAATTGAACTATTTAAAAAAATGAATTTACAAAAAAAAATCCCCGTCATATTCGTTTTCGTTTGAATCTGCATGGCCCAAACAAAAAGGTTTTGCAGTAACTTGCACATGGTGGCAAAAATATATTTTACAGTAATGACCCAATGCATCAGACTTTTATCTTTTGATAATTTCACATAACCGTGATTCCTAATCTTTTGACATACACTGAAAAAAGTTTTCACTTAGTTTCTATTAGGAACGCACATAGTATTTTTCCAAAAACAAAAATAATGATTTTTACCTGAATATCACATAGCATTAGAAGTTCTATATGAGAAATAATATAGATTTCATTGCACACATAACGTTCATGTGATTTAGTGGTGCAATTTCCAATTATGGGATCACATGAAAGTTATGTGAAATTCACATGGATATTTTCCACTGGTTATGTGATTTATTTTATGAGTGTAGGACTATGTCTGTGATTTCAATATGGTGGTACACTTTGTGAAAACCGAAAATGGAACAAGTAACGAAATTATGAAAGATTTTGAACGTTCATAACTCAGCTGCCTCTGGACCAATTTCAATAATTTTATCACCAATCGATCAGAACTATTTCTACGCATCGATAGCAATGCTTCCGACTGTTGATTTTGAACAAGAAACTATTGAAAAAGTGGTAAATGTCAAGCATTGTTCAAAAGAGTAGAAATAACTGACAAATCCACCAATTACGTACATGCATTTGCTGCTTCCCCAACACTGTCATCAGAGAGTCGTTTCTAGACAAAACATGTCGAAGTAGCATTGCTGTTTCCCCAACACTGTCATCAGAGAGTCGTTAGTAGGCGAAACAAGTCGAAGTGGCATTCGCCTCCGATTTTCGGGCGTGTGCAAATAGGGCGGATGCAATTGCGTACATTGTTGGACACTCATCGCCATATTCAGAACCACACGCCCCCAACGACCACACAAAATGTTCTCCAGAGTTCTTGTAATCTTGTAACCAAACTTGGAAGCAGGGGTGCACAAGTGATTTTGATCGATTCTCTTCATCGACTTTCTGTTTCGTTATTAACTCGACGGCAAACACATTCATTGATACGTTTGTTGTTCTGGATGATAGAAGAGCATAGCAGAAATAGTGCGAAATAGGTTAGTGAAGCCATGGTCATCAAAAGAGGAAATCGATGGAGAGAATTGGCCCCGTAAGGTGGGTAGATCACCATTTCGTGGTAAGTTACGGGATGTAAGATCTACCACCGATTCCTAGTCTTGACTACTTCAAACAGAATTTTTCAGTAATCAAAGGAACACATCTTAGTCCTTGTTACTTGTTATGCTTTGTTGATAGCAGGCTTCCGGAAATCTCACGCGTACACAAATGCGACAGCGAGCTGTGAGACGGAGCGTCGCATGACTCTCATATCCATGGTGTGCTACATTATTGTACAAAAGAGAGACCAGAACGATGCGCGCGACAAGCTACATGCTCTCAACAAAATCGAGCGTTTCAATTTTTGTTTGTCTCATCGCATTGCTCTCTCAATGCGACGCATGTATTCAATCACATGCGACTGTTTCATTGAAACATCTCAATGCGCTCTCTCAGGGCGCCATCGCCGTGCGCTGTTTCGCATGTTTTGACTCTCGCGGTCCCATCATAAGTGATGTTGTCGGGTGACGAGACTTGTGGCCCTTTGCATGTGGATTTTGAAATGGGGTAAAGTTTTTAGATGGTTCCAGAAATATCTTCTAGTATAGATTCAAGCAGACTCAACTCATGGTTCCAGAGATATACTGGAATCACCGTCCGTAAGATCACCACTAATGATCCTAGGAAGACGCAATTGCTTGTCGAAAGGATGCTAAAGGAAGGTAAAGGAAGGCTATGTGAGCGGTGGATGGCAACCTTACGGTAGTTGGGATACCGCTAGCATGTTAGCACCCAAATAATACCGGAATATCTGTGGAACTATGTGTCCTTCAACAAGTCCTTATGCGGAAATCTTCTAAAATACATTTTTTGGAAGCCTCTGAAGCTTTCAGCCCATTTGGTGGAAAAATAAACAAGTTATTGCGCATTTGCACCAAATTAAACTCAGAATCCCTCAGAATACTTTTACTCAGACCAGTAAAAATATAAATGGACGATTTTGAATGTAAAACAGCACTATACTATACAAGATCATATGGTCGGCCTTAAGTCAGAAGGGACTAAGTAGCAAAATAAAAACAAAAAATGAGTTAATGATATCATAAGATCAAGAATTCCCTCAGCTACATTTCAATTTTTCAGCCAGATTTGAAAAATTAGAGTAGCACGAGAAATCGGTCAAATGATTTTTCCCATTACATAAGACACAATATTGAACAGCCCACTTTAAATTCGTTTTTCTCAAAATCAAATAAAAAATTCACATTTCGGTCTGACTTGACCGATCATATCAACACGCTAGTAATGATAAAACTCTGAAGATTAATATTTTTATTTGTCTGGCTTCAGTGAACACTATTTTAAGGGATTATTTTCAATGCAGAAGTGTACTTTGCTGCAAAAACGTTGGTGGTGACTTCTCATTGCATACACACAAGTCTGCACTTAAAAATTAACCAAGTTTAACATGTTGTAAATGTGTTCTGTCAGATCAATTGAGTTGAAATTTTTGACACAAAACTTGCTTTTCCATTGACCTTTGTTCGATCAGCTATGCACACATTTTATTTTTATTGTCACCTTCCAGCAGGTGCTTCAAAAAATTTGGTATTTCTTACACGTGAAATTCAACATACAGGGGTTGTGAGAAATATAGGGTACTAGCAAAATTTTGTCCAACTTTGGACTGTTGTAACTTCGTTAAATATTGTTCGATTTTTAATCTTCAAGAAACATTCGACTAGAAAACTAATCAAGTTTTATGTTGGGGCAATGGAAGTGACCATGGTTACCGGATACCGGAGATATTCCGGGTTTCCGGAGAGCATGTCTAAATTGCTAAATTTGTGATGAGTTTTTCTCAGGGTGTCCGTTACTAATCTGTGTTTTTTGTTCATACGCCAAAAATAGAACCATTTCCAAAGCAAATGACGTACCAAGAGCTAAAATCGGCTCAGAATCAACAAAGATATGGCCATTTCCCTGGAATCGGTCCTGAAGGAGGGTTCTGAGTGCGGTCAGTTCTTTCATTCACTCAAAACATGCCGTGCGACACCTCTTTCTTCATAGTTTTTTTTTTTTACCAATAGGCTTTCTATAGACTTTGAATGGATCATTGACTACATTGGCCACTTCCGGAACCACCGGAGTGCCCTCGGGGGAACCTGTAGTAGGAGAAAAATTCATTTTTACAAAAATCATGCCGTGTGAAACCTCTTTCTTCATGGTTTTTCATCAGTAGGATTTCTTAAGACTTTAAATGGATTATTGACCACATTGGCCACTTCCGGAACCACCGAAGTACCCCCGGGGAACCTGAAGTAGGGTAAAATTTCATTTATACACCAAAACATGCCATGCGACACCTCTTTCTTCATGGTTTTTCATCAGTAGGCTTTCTATAGACTTTGAATGGATCATTGACCACATTGGCCACTTCCGGAACCACCGAACTACCCCCGGGGGAACCTGTAGTAGAGGACAATTGCATTATTACACCAAAACATGCCGTACAACACCTCTTTCTTCGTGGTTTTTTTTATCCGTAGGCTTTCTATGGACTTTAAATGGATCATTGACTACATTGACCACTTCCGGAACCACTTGGGTACTCCCGGGGGAACCTGTAGTAGGGGAAAATTACATTTTTACACCTAAACATGCCGTGCGCCCGCATTTCGGTGGTTCCGAGGCGGCCAATGTAATTAATGATCCAATTCAACTTTATAGAAAGCCTACTGATGCAAAACCATGGAGAACGATCTGTCACACGGCATGTTTTGGTGTAAAAATGAAATTTTCCCCTACTTATGGTTTCTTGGGGGTATTCCGGCATTGTTCCGATAGTGGTCAATGCGATCAATGATCCACTTAAAGCCTATAAAAAGCCTACTGATGCAAAACCATGAAGAAATAGGTGTCGTACGGCATGTTTCGATGTAAAAATGCAATTTTCCCTTACTGCAGGTGCCTTCGGGGGTACTCCAGTGGTTCCGGAAGTGGTCAATGTGGTCAATGATCCATTCAAAGTCTATAGAAAGCCTACTGATGAAAAACCATGAAGAAAGAGGTGTCACACGGCATGATTTTTGTAAAAAATGAATTTGTCCCCTACTACAGGTTCCCCCGAGGGCACTCCGGTGGTTCCGGAAGTGGCCAATGTGGTCAATGCTCCATTTAAAGTCTATAGAAAGCCTATTGGTAAAAAACCATGAAGAAAGAGGTGTCACATGGCATGTTTTGAGTGAATGAAAGAACTGACCGCACTCAGAACCCTCCTTCAGGACCGATTCCAGGGAAATGGCCATATCTTGGTTGATTCTGAGTAGATTTTAGCTCTTGGTACGTCATTTGCTTTGGAAATGGTTCTATTTTTGGCGTATGAACAAAAAACACAGATTAGTAACGGACACTCTGAGAAAAACTCATCACAAATTTAGCAATTTAGACATGCCCTCAGGAAACCCGGAATATCTCCGGTATCCGGTAACCATGGTCACTTCCATTGCCTCACCATAAAACTTGATTAGTTTTCCAGTCGAATGTTTCTTGAAGATTAAAAATCGAACAATATTCAACGAAGTTTCAACAGTCCAAATTTGGACAAAATTTTGCTAGTACCCTATATTTCTCACAACCCCTGTATTTGTAGTTTTGCGTCAAAATTTCAGCCCAATTGATCATAACAGAACACATTTGTAACATGTTAAACTTGGCTAATTTGTATGAA